AGTGTCTTCTATTTTTTATGTTATTGTTAATTTCTAATTTCATTTTGTCCCAGAAATTTCTAATTTCATTCCACTGTGCTCTTTCATTTCCTTCATTTTTTCTTTGATTTCACTCCTTATACTATCTTTTACTTCACATATCAATTTAACTATATACAAACTGAACTCATTCTTGGACATTTCTTCTACTGTGTTATCAGTGGCTTCTGTTGTTGAAGCATCTTGGTTTTTTTGGGGTGCCCTATTCCCTTGTTTTTTCATGTTGTTAGTGTGTTTTCCCATCTAAAAGTATGGATATAAGGCAGGATAAATTCTACCCTGTAGACCTATAGTGTCCTTGAAGGTTTCCAGTGCTTTGCCTTTACTGGTGAGACCAATATCAACAGCACCCAGTGTACACAATATATAGCCTTAAACCTTATTAGGCATCTACTAAGGTGTCTACTGCTTTTTCATATTAAACCAAAATGATGAGTTCAATAACTATCTATAGTACAAACAGAAGATTTGTTAAAATGGTTTACAATTTCAAATGGTGGGTGAGAGAACAGAGGTAGAGTAGTATGTGATATTCACGAGGGAGGAAGAGAGAAGCTAGAAATAAAATTTCACAGGAAAAGTGGAGGAGGAGCCAACAGAGATTGGCTGTTGGTTGGAGGAAAATTGGAAAGAAAATCCAAGAAAATAGACCAGAGAGAAGAAGAATACAAACAGAAAAAAAATTAAAGACATAAGAATACAACAAAAATGCAAACACCATTCATATATCATTGTCCTCCACACACTAATGCATAAAAAAATCCTGTTACAAATATGGTAGAGAGATTAGTGAATCAAAAAATAAAATAAAATAAATCTTGCTGGAAAGTTGAATTGTCTCTGTCAGTGTTCAACAGTTTCTCAGCCCTGTCTCTGACATCTCATCAAACCCAGATCAGCCCTCACAAACCCAGTCTCTATCCCACCAATCTGGGCTTCAGATACCTCAGGCTTGGCCACGCTATAGTCCCAAGATCTCATTGCTGCTCCTACTTGGAGAGAGACCACCAGGGATATACTTATGCAAAGGAGCAACCCCGAGATGCAGCAGCAAGACAAGGGCCACCAGCCCTCTCAGCAGGAAGACCCCAGGCTCCTCCAAACCCACAGGCACCCCCACATTGGACCTGCAGGCCCCAGCTGGAGTCCCCAGACAGAGGATCTTATGGTGGTAAACCTGCTGGCACCTGGGCCCCAGGCCCTGGCTGGTGTCCCAAAATAGGTGCAGCCACATGCAACCAAACCTGGAGTCTACTCTGAAGCAGTCCTCTGGGCTGTGGCAGCAGTAGTGGTGGTGGTTGTTGGCGGCAGGCAGCGGGTCAGCAGTAGCAGCAGCTGCAGTGGCAGCTACAACTGCAGCTGTGGGGGCAGCATCTCCAGGTGATCTCTGGGGTCAGCAGCAGCGTTGGCTTCAGTTGCATCTGGGGCAGCAATTTCTTCTGTTGCAGCAGCACCCAGAAAGAAGACCTCCAGGTGATCTCAGGCTGGCAGCAGTGGAATCAGAGGCAGCAGCAATCTCTGCAGTAGTTTTATTATAGTTCCAGGTCTTACACTTAGACCCTTGGTCCATTTTGAGTTGATTTTTTTTTGTAACTGGTAAGAGATAAGGATTTAATTTCATTCTTATGATTATGGATATCCAGTTTTCCTAAACTGATTTATTGAAGAGGCTTGTCCTTTCTCTAATGTATGTTTCTGGCACCTTGGCTGAAGATGAGTTGGAGGTTGTTATGATTTGGAAATGAGGTACTCCCTCAAACCTCCTATGTTAATGCAGGTGGTGAAATGATTAGATTATGAAAGCCACAAACTAATCTGGATTAATTCATTTGATGTTTTAGTAATTTGAGTGTATGACTGGGTGGTAACTATAGGTAGATGGGTGGAGTGTTGCTGGAGGAGGTGGGTCCCTGGGGACATGCCTTGAGGATTATATATTTTACCCATCTCCTTCTGTGCATACTCTCTCTGCTTCCCAGCTGTCATAAACTGAGTAGCTTTCTTCCACCATGCCTTTCTACCACGATGTTTTGCCTCAACCTCAGGCCCAGAGCAATGGGGTTGACCAACTGCTGAAACCATGAACCAAAAAAAACCTTTCTTCCTCTAAGTTGTTTTGGTCATAGAAAAAAAAAGCTGTCTAATGTCGCTGTCAATATGTGGATTCATTGTCATAAGTTTTTGGCTTTGATTTTCCCTATCATCTCATTTCCTTTTGTCTGACTGGATAGCTTCAAAGTACCTGTCTTCAAGGTTGAAAATTGTTTCTTCCTCTTAATCTAGCCTGTTATTAAACTCTTGACTATATTTTTATCTCATTTAATTGAGTTTTTCAACTACATGATTTGTGTTTGGTTTATTTTCATGATCTATATCTCTTTGCTGAATTTTTCATTAAGATCATAAATTGTTTTGCTAATTTTTAAAAATCAATAGGCTGTATTCTTTTGTATCTAGTTGATTTTCTTAAAAATCAATGTTTTGAATTTTTTTCAGGCTATTTATCAGTTTACTTTTCTTCAGGGCTCCTGCTGGAGAGATAGCATATTCCTTTGGAGGTGCAATATTACCTTGCTCTCCACCCCACCCCCCCCGTGGCTCTTTGTTGACATTTGTGTATATGGGTATATTAGTTTCCTCTACCACTTTTTCAGGGTAGTTCTGCGGTAAATGACTTTATTCTGGATATGTGTCCTAGGGTTTCAGTTGGACAGGTTACACTGGATTTGGTTCCAGGATGGAACAATAGTGAAATCTCCATGTAGCTTCTTCAGTGGTACCAACTTTTGTGATGCCTATGGTATGTCAATGGCCCAGGCTGCAGGGATTTGTGGGATTTCTCTGACAGTTGGATGCAGCTCTCTTAGGAGGACAGGTACACTTGCAGCTGTGGAAACAGTGCATGCTATTGCATATGTGCAGAGCATCTGTTAGTTTGTGTAGGTTGCCTCAGGCGGGGCTGATTGATGGGTCAAGGTAGGTAAGATATGGCTGGCACCAAAGTGGAGGGAGGGTGCTGGTCTGTTTCTGAGGGTTTCAAGGGGGCAGGCCTACCCTGGTGGGTCCCAGAAGGTACAATGTTGTGTGCCCAATAGTGAGTGTAGGGTGCCTGTCAGTGTCTGAGGGCTTTGTAGAAGCCATGTAGGGGCTGAGACGCACTGGTCAGCCTGGATGGGGTGCCTGCCAAAGTCCATTGGCGGCACATTAGTGAAAAGGTTAAGAATGTAAGAATTAAGTTCTGTTTTCCTGGAACCTGAAACTCATGTAGAAGTTGAAAACAACTCCCGGAAATGCCCACTGATCATCTGGTTGCTCTACGAAAACAACCTCTCCTAGAAACCGTGCAATGATTGGCTATGCTGTATGTGAAGTCCCTGCCCTCTCCAAGGAAAGTATATAAGCTCTGCTTAAGCTGTTCCCAGGGCTCTCTCTCTCTGCTCTATTCAAGTGAGCTCTGAGCCCCAGCATGCTGGACCCCCAATAAACCGTTTGCTGTTGCATGAGACAGTCTCTTGGTGGTCTCTTCCTCCGACGCTCGCCCGACCTTTACAGTTAGCTTTCATGGGAACTTAGCTCACTGAGTTTCTCAGAGTGGACTGCCAAGTTGCTTCCTAGGACTGTGAATGGATGACAGGAGCCACTCAGCTGGCACCTGTGGCCGCGGTGGGCTGAGTTGCTCAGGTCAGGCCCCGTAGCTGCTTCTTAGATGGGATTTTGGTTGGGCTGACTGACTGCATTAGGGAACTACAGAAGGGTGGGCCTCAAGATGAGGCTGTCCAGCAGAAGCTTGGGTGATGGAGGGCACAACATGGGCTGGGCTCTTTCTTTGAGTTAATGAAGCAGTTTGGATGCCCTGGTACCTTGGTAAACTGGCCTCAGGGCCAGTGAGGTTTTCAGCTTCTTCAGTAGCAAGTACTTCAGGTGTCTGTGGGTTTGTTTTTGCTGGGGCCTCCTACTTACTCATTCCCACTGCATGAAGCTTAGGTTTTATCTCCTTTGGGAAGATGTGATGGTGGATGCTTTGTGCTTAGTACCATTTTTGAGAAAGCCTTCCTGGGTGTCTGTGCTCTAGATTACTGCCCTACTGTTTTGGTACTCTCCCTCAAACACTCCAATATAATAATATTTTTTTCTTTGATTTGGTCCTTGTTCGTAGAGAGAATGCGTCAGGTCCCTCTAGTCGGGCATCTTGCTAATGACATTCCACTGGGCCCTTCCTGTGTACCAGGCAGGTTGGCAGGTGGTAGGCACAATAGCAGTGAAAACAGACATAAACCCAGACTCAGAAGAATGCACCGTCTAGTTTACCAAATGTTCAACAGATGTGGTTGGTTGTGCCGTTGCTCTTATTTCTGTGATATAAACAGATGACAGACAGGCAAAGTGGTGTTTTTAAGAGGCACACATTCATTGAGGATCCATGGTGGGACCGGACTCCTTCTCTGTTGGACTATAAACCTGCCTCCCTCAGCAGCTTACAAAATGCTCCCAACAGCCTTCACCTTTGTCTTTCCTAATAACAAGGGATTCCTTACACAATCCTTGGGGCCAGAGGTCTTTCTGGTTTTTCTCTCCTGAATCCTGGGCCCTGTCAAAAATCAAAGTAAAGGGGCTGGGGTTGTGGCTCAGCAGTAGAGTGTTTGCCTAGCACGTGAGAGGCCCTGGGTTCGATCTTCAGCACCACATAACAACAAATAAATAAATTAAATAAAGGTATTGTGTCCAACTACAACTAAAAATAAATAAATAAATAAATATTTTTAAAAAATCGAAGTAAAGACATGTGTAATAATTTACATCTGGGGATTAGTACTATTATAAGAAGAGGCCAGAAAGCTATGGCAGACCTCTCTGTCTACCATGCAAAGATACAGCAAGAAAGAATATGGCCCTCTGCAAACCAGGAAGAGAGTACTCCTGAAGAACATGACCAAAACAGCACCCTGATCTTGGACTTCTAGCCTGGAGAACTTTGACTATATTGTGGAGTATGATTATGATGCTGTGCATGATGATGAATTAACTATTCGAGTTGGGGAAATCATCAGAAATGTGAAAAAACTACAGGAGGAAGGATGGCTAGAAGGAGAACTAAATTGGAGAAGAGGAATGTTTCCTGATAATTTTGTTAAGGAAATTAAACGAGACACAGATTCCAAGGATGACAATTTGCCCATCAAACGGGAAAGGCATGGAAATGTAGCAAGTCTTGTGCAACGAATAAGTACCTATGGACTTCCAGCCGGAGGAATTCAGCCACATCCACAAACCAAAAACATCAAGAAGAAGACCAAGAAAAGGCAGTGTAAAGTTCTTTTTGAGTACATTCCACAAAATGAGGATGAACTGGAGCTGAAAGTGGGAGATATTATTGATATTAATGAAGAGGTAGAAGAAGGTTGGTGGAGTGGAACCCTGAACAACAAGTTGGGACTGTTTCCCTCAAACTTTGTGAAAGAATTTGAAGTGACAGATGATGGTGAAACTCATGAAACTCAAGAGGATTCAGAAACTGTTTTGCCTGGGCCTACCTCACCCTTACCCTCTCCAGGGAATGGGAATGAAACTGCATCTGGATCAATTGCTCAGCCAAAGAAAATTCGAGGAATTGGATTTGGAGATATTTTTAAAGAAGGCTCCATGAAACTTAGGACAAGAATATCCAGTAGTGAAACAGAAGAGAAAAAAACAGAAAAGCCCTTAACCATACAGTCGATAGGATCCAAAACAAGTGTGGAGATAACAAAAACAGAAACTGAAGGTAAAATTAAAGCTAAAGAATACTGTAGAACATTATTTGCCTATGAAGGTACCAATGAAGACGAACTTTCTTTTAAAGAAGGGGAAATAATCCATTTGATAAGTAAGGAGACTGGAGAAGCTGGGTGGTGGAAGGGTGAACTTAATGGTAAAGAAGGAGTATTTCCAGACAATTTTGCTGTTCAGATAAATGAACTGGATAAGGACTTTCCAAAACCAAAGAAACCACCACCTCCTGCTAAGGGTCCAGCTCCAAAGCCTGATCTCTTAGCTACAGAGAAGAAGTTTTTTCCTATGAAGCCCGAAGAAAAAGATGAAAAAACACTGGAACAGAAACCTTCTAAACCAGCTGCTCCACAGGTCCCACCCAAGAAGCCTACTCCACCCACCAAAGCCAATAATTTATTAAGATCTCCTGGAACAGTTTACCCAAAGCGACCTGAAAAACCAGTTCCCCCACCACCTCCTGTAGCCAAGATCAATGGAGAAGTTTCTACTGTTTCATCAAAATTTGAAACTGAGCCAGTATCCAAACCAAAGCCCAAATCCGAACAGTTACCACCTAGACCAAAATCAGTGGACCTTGATTCATTTATAGCAAGAAGTTCTAAAGAAACAGATGTTGTAAATTTTGATGACATAGCTTCCTCAGAAAACTTGTTACATCTCACTGCAAATAGACCGAAGATGCCTGGAAGAAGACTGCCTGGTCGCTTCAATGGTGGACATTCTCCAACTCAAAGCCCAGAAAAAACTTCGAAGTTATCAAAAGAAGAAGATAGTGCCAACCTAAAGCCATCTGAATTTAAAAAGGATACATGCTATGTTCCAAAGCCATCTGTCTACCTTTCAACACCTTCAAATACTTCTAAAGCAAATACATCTGCCTTCCTAACTCCATTAGAAATAAAATCTAAAGTAGAAACAGATGATGGCAAAAAAAATTCCCTAGATGAACTTCGCGCCCAGATTATTGAATTGCTGTGTAGTGTAGAAGCACTGAAAAAGGATCATGGGAAAGAACTGGAAAAACTGAGAAAAGATTTGGAAGAAGAGAAGGCCTTGAGAAGTAATCTAGAGATGGAAATAGAGAAACTGAAAAAAGCTGTCCTGTCTTTTTGAAGTGTTCCAGGGATTCAGATGCAACAATATGAACTTCCATCGACTTGTTACTTAAAAACAACAAACACTGATGTTGTGATAATGAAATATGAGTATATGAACTATATTATCTATTAAAAGTTAGGGGGTGGGTGCTTTTTAATATATATATATATATATATAGTTTTGCCAATATGAAAAAAAAAGAGGCCTTATTTCTTACTGTGCTGGGATTGCAAACATTATTTTTGTTTGTTTGCTTGAAAATACTACTGAATCTGTATAAAAAGGAAAGAAAGTTCATAATTTTTTTATTGAAACTTGTAGTATTATTTTTAAAGAGATCTATACTATAAATATGGTGATATCTTTACAAGTAATCTGTAAGATAAACTATTTGAGAGCGACAGATTAGCTTTATAGTAACTATAGTCACTACTTTTTCCATGATACATTAAGGGATAATAACTTTGTAAATATATACATATTTTTACTTTTAGCTTCTTACCCAAGATTACACTGTTGTGCCTGTTTGTCTGCAGTGCTGTTTTTAATTTGGGTGATGAAATAGGAGTTTCCTAGCTATAAATCAGATTACTCACCCATGCATACAGTAATAACTAATGAAATAATAAAAACAGTTTCAACTTTGAGTGTTTTATATTGCTTGCACTATAGGATTCATAAAAGGAATTTAGTTAAAATGTAATGGATTGTTAAACATGAGCTTTATTATAAGTTCATTAGTTCTAAGGAATCTAAAAACATCAATTTAATCCTTTACTTGTGCCTAGAAACTACAGCACATATGAAATAGTTAACACCAGCCTTATTGCTGTACTTTCCTGCTTGTTTTACAGTCTCAAATATTTCATTATCTTTAGTTCTTCATACTCTTCCCTCTGACTTTTAATAATGTAATATTAGGAAAACAAAATCCAAATCTTTTCAGAACCTCATGTAAGGCTTCATACTGGGACAAGTTGTCATTATGTAAATACTCAGGTTTTACAGTGTATAATTTACATAATAGGCCAAACTAACTCCTGGAGATATTTTGGAATGTTATTTAGATTAAACGTTTAGAAAGGGTGTTAGTATATCATAAAATATAATATTACAGCTTATTTAAACCAAATATAGTTGATCATATTGAAAACCAGATTTTCACAGAATAGGTGAATCAGCAATTTCTTCAGAGTCATTTATGAACAGTTGAACATTTCAGAATGTTATAGTCTATACATAATATGTCTAAAAACTTATAGGTTTATTTAAAATTTTGAAATTTTTCATTTAAAAAAAAAGGCACCCAGCTGTACTATAGGAAATGATTTTGAGTACCAAGTTATCATGCTTCCATTTTGTTTTTTGTTTTTGTTTTAAACCACCCAATGTTTTTTCTTTACATTTTTTTAATCTCAAAAGTATGGAAATCTTGTGTAAATGAAATTCTTACTGTTTAAAAAAGATATAAAAAGAACTGAAGTAGAAAATAATAGAAATGCCAATACACAATTACTTAATATTTAAGTCACAATGTTTGGGCTTTGGAGGAAATTTAATTTTGCTTTTTGAGTGTGTACATTTTAACTATTTAATGTCTTTGGGCTCTTCTAATGAGATCACTACTGAACAAAATTGTTCCTTTTTGTTTTTAAATGATTAGTCAAATGAATGATTGCCTTGTTAGATAAATTATATCATCAGTTAATGACAGTCCTTAGGTAAAAATAAAAATATTGCATCCTAGATACCATGTCTTCCAGCTTTCTCATTGGAAGATGTACTAAGTTATCCCTACCTACCATAACAATGAGGTGAGAGAAGGTTCCAGCAGATTTCAGGTTATTCATGAAGGTTTTTTGGTCATTTTTCTGTAGTATATTTGACTTTCCTACTTCTCAGAATATAAAACTCATTGAAGTTCTCTCTGCTTTTCTACCCTTGACAAAATGTAAGGAAAACCAAGCAAGCTTGAAATTAAGGGGAAAACGATTCCTTTATCATAGTTTACCAGTATTTGCTCTTGATATGAAGACTTTCCTAAATTTCATGTCACAAAATGGTATGTAATAGTAATAGCTTTTATTGGAGGTGAAACATTAGTTCCCACCCTCCACTCCCTATTTGTGAGTATAAATGACAGAAAAGATGAGTCTGTTGTTGCCAAATTATTAGTGAATGTATAGTTCAGGTTTGCTATGCTTTGAAACACATAATACTAATTTTCTAATTGTATCCAATGTTACTTTTTTGTGTTGTGACCACTAAGCTTCTGTCTTATAAGCTGTTACCTCTACAGAATTTTATAGAACTTTACTGAAGAGTCTAAAGATGCAGAGAGAGAATGGGTCTTGTGGAACCAGAGGATCCTTTTTTTTTTCTTTTTAAAATTAGCTCCTTACTGTGATTACAGGGGGAAAAAAAAATTCAAGTGCTCTGTAAGTTTTTTGGTAAATTTTTTATGCTTGCATTTAAACTTGAAATGTATGAGCAGAATGAGACAATCAGTTAAAATCCAAAACGAGAAGTGTTATAATTGAATGGCCTTGTTTTGCTGTAGCAATAAAATGACCAAGTGCAATGACTTAATAAAATCATCTTTTTAAAGTTAAAAAAAAAATTACATCCTATTCCACGGAACTTTCCCCCAGTATTTGGTTACTTTCTGTCCCTACTTTGTGTTCCTCTTTCCCCATCTGGGACTCTTGGACCAGAACTCTGCCCTACCTGGCTCAGCACCTGTTTTTCACTCACAGCCTGAGAGGCATTACTGGAAAGAGCTTTGTTCTCAGAACCAGGATTTGAATTGGGTTTTGACTATTTCTTTCCCTCCCTGAATCCTGAGTTGTTTGATAAAGTAGTTGTGTAATGTGGTAATAGCTAACATTTAGTGAGCATTAATTAGTATTTAGTATGCTTAGAGCACTGAAGAAAGAACTTTGCATGATTCCATGTAAAGTTAAAAAACACAGTTTAAAAAATTTATCCATAATATATAGGGGAAATCTGAGGTAGAAAGAGGTTAGTTGCTTGCTTTAGATCATCCAGCTGGTGTAGGTATTCTGGCCATGGAAATAGACAGGGAAGCATTCCCCATGAACAAACTCCTGGGGGGTAACTGGGGCCCTGATTCCCCCTGAGGCTATTAAGATAACTATGCGGGTGCAATACCTGATTTCCATAGTAATGTCCTTGGTGGAGAGAGGCTCTGGGTTTGTATTAACCTGAACCTTATCTCAGCTAGCACTTAGGGTTAAAGGAATACTAGCAAGAGTGTAGTCATGGTGATGGGTAATATGTAATTTTTGGGAGGTTTAATAAATGTGGCAGCAGAGAGGAGTAGCCACCCCTTTTGCCTGCCACCTTTGCCTGCCTGCTTGTACCTGTGTGTCTGTGTCTGTCCTTTTGTTCATCTCTTATCAGAGATGAACCTACCTGTGTAGGTTTTCTACACAGATATTCTTTACAAGCTGGTAAGAGGGATAGCCAGGATTCTACTCCAGTGAATCTTGCTCCAGAGTCTTCACTGTTAACAATTAATGCAAAGGAGGTGGTGAATAAGTTGATTATACTGTTTTTAAAAAATTTTACTGTTAAAATGACAGTTCCCAAAATTTCCAGGGAGCATTTCTTATTTGCTGTGTTTCATCCAGGGCTTCCAAGTAGCAGAAAAATGTGACAGGTTACCAACTCCACATCTCTGCATAAATGCAAGTCTCACTCTCCCAGGAAGCTCCTTTGAAAAGGTGTATAGCACGGCATGTGGCTAGATGTACATAGCCATTGAAAATGAGATTTATTTGTTGAGAATTTTTAAGGTTATGAGGAAGGCTTATAATACACAATAAAAACACAATATTAAACTTTATGTAGAGAAGTATCTTAAGTCTTAGAAAAAATGTGTTTGTCATCATCAAGGTTTATTCACCAGGGGATGTTTTCCCCACTCATTTGCTATTTAGACAACTCAATCAGTGATTCTGGCAGGTTGTAACTAGACAGTGTATGTCTTTATGTTTCCCATAAAGGGGAAGAGGCTGTGCCTACTGATAATGCCTCAGTAAAGTCTGACTAATTTGATAAATGATGGAGAGAGGGAATGAATAAGACTTTGAAGTGGTTGCATCTTCATCTTGAACAGACTAAGTTCCATACTGGGAACCATAGTTTAAAAAAATGAGATTAATGTATTTATACCTGGAAATTTCCTGGGTTGGTTCATAAGGATCTTGAAGTAGTTATTCCTCTGGGTAGATTGCTCCAGATTCTTGCTTTTTTTTTAAGCCAGTTTGATGATGATGTAATTTTACACATATTGTTTACTTCTAATCCTATACCAAGGCTGAATGTCTCAGGTGCAAGTCTTTTTATATAAATAGCTATTTCAGATATAATGCATATGTTAACATGTATTTATCATTGAATAATTTCTGGTATATATTAATTTTTAAAAAATAATGGAATATAGAACATAAAACTGGACAATTTGACCAATTTTTATTGTATATTCTGATGGCATTAATTACAATTACAATGTGTACAACCATCACCACTATGTATAAAACTTTTTCACTACCCAAACAGAAACTTTTTACCCATTAGGAAATAACCCTCCATTCTTTCCTCCTCCGGTCCATGGTAATCTCTGATCTGCTTTCTGTAATTTACTTTCTGGCTCTATAACTTTTCTATTCTACTGCCTATAAGCAGAATAATACAATATTTTCCTTTTATATCTGGCTTATTTCACTTAGCAAACTTTGTCAAGCTAGTTATGCTATATCAGACCTTCATTCATTTTTATAGCTGAATACTATTCCATTGTGTATATATATATATATATATATATATATATATATATATATACTACATTTTGTGTACCCATCTAGCTACAAAGGACATTAAGTTGTATTCTAACTTGTGCCTATTGTAAAAAGTACTGTGATGTTCAGTCAAACATTGGATGTCCAATTGGTCCCTCCCTTCCCCTGCCATAAAGAGTAGAGGAGTAAGGGCAGAGCTTGGGCAGTCCATAGGTGATTAACCTGTAGCACCTTCCTTGAGAAACAAAGGAAAAAGTTCTATCATCTGACCATTGTAATGGACACATGCACTTCTTTCCTTCTATTACTCACTAATA